AAGTTTCTAGACCTTGACCACAGTAAATGATGTTGAAAGTCATTTGACCTCCCCTCCTCATGTGTCATCGCTTAGGCTGTGAACCTGGAGAGTGATGTGAGATTCCCCTCTGTATGCTGTGAATATGTTTTATCCATTGGTTAATAAAGAAGCTGCTTTGGCCTATGGCAGGGCAGAATAGAGCTAGGTGGGAAAAACCAAATGAGATATAGAGAGTAGGCGGAGTCACGGAGACACCATGTCGCTGCCAAAGGGGAAAGATGCCAGCCACCAACCAGAACCTTCCTGGTAGGCCACAGCCTCATGATGATTTACAGATTAATAGAAATGGGTTAATTTCAGATGTAAGAGTTAGCTGGTAATGTGCATAAGCTATTGGCCAAAGAGTGCTGTGATTAATATAGTTTCTGTGTGATTATTCGGGTCTGAGTGGCAGAGAAACGAGCAGCTTCCACCTATGGGAGAGAGTGAGGACAAGAACTATATGCTAGTCTATCTTAAGGAAACACAGTTCCTTTTTAAAAATTTCACATGTGGTTCTAATTTTCAATATCAGAACTAAACTATACAGAATCATATACTTTATTAAACTGTAAACTTTCATATTTTAAGTATGTATTCTATTAACATGTCTTCATTGATGGGTATATAATATAATGGATTTGAAGGTGATTGTTTTCTTTCTTTGTAAATAAAACTCTTTTGGCCAAACTAAATAATTTACATGTTTGCATATGGTCTTTTAAGAATAGATTTTGCCAGGTGCTGTTGGTGCACAACTTTAATCCCAATATTCTGAACCACTGCCATGTAGGTGCTGGTAACTGAATCCGGGTCCTCCAAAGAGCAACAAATGTTCTTAACTGTGGAGACAGCATGTCTTCAGCTCCCTTCTCTTTTACCAGTCCCTGAAGCCAGGCATATGATTGAGGTGCTTGCCCTTTAACTTCCTCTATTTTTTTAATTAATCTAACATTTACTGAGCACCATCACAATGCTGAGTAGGCCATTCTTGTACAGGCGTGAAGACATCAGGTAAGGCTGCATGTAATGTCCTTAGGGCCTCTGTTATACCATGTTATGCTTTGTGATCTGAGGAAGGAATGGTTAGTTTTCTGGCTCACTGGCACAGCATAGTTGCCATTTGTCAGACATTTTAAAAAAGAATGTTATTTATTCAGTCAGAATACTTTCTACATTTTAGACAGGGATCCAGAACTCCCCGTGTAGCCTAGGCTAGCCCAAAGCCACAGCACACTTCCTACCTTGACCCCCTGAAGTGCTAGGGCTACAAACATGAAATTTTGTGGAAAGATTTTTTTTTTTTTTTAACCAAAATACAAGTCCGGACGTGAGTTTTTATTTCTTCTGAGAAACTCAACTCTTTGTGTGGAATGCCATGGACCTGTCTTGTTATTGCCTGCTAAGTTTACAGTGTGCAGTTCTTTTGGAGTAAGAAGGTGGGAGAGGATGGTGGGGGGCCTCTTCTGCTGAATCTCATCTAGGCTATATCTAAATGAGAGGAGGCCTATCCATCTATCCTGAGACATTGGCTCTGAAAATCCCAATATGGAGGCAAAGGAGGCCAGGCTTCCGGAAGGAAGCTGAGGTGCTGAGGTAAGAGGCCTCATCGTTCAGCCCCCACCCATGCATCTCTCACCTTTAATGGAGGAGCTTCAGGGTCTACGAGCCTTGGGGAAACAGTCTGGCTGAGAGCAGAATCCTTGTGACTTCGCCAGGTGCACGTGTGCTTCACATCCACATCTAAATGAGTCGACTCCAAGTACAATCCAAGTTAAATCACACTGAATGCATTGTGGGTTCTCACTAGTCACACGTCAGCGGCCAGCACAATTGGAAATGCAGGCAGAGGACAGGATGGTCTGGTGTAGAGGCTGCCTCTGGGACAGACCTTACAGCTAACTTCCTGTTGTCCCCCGTAAAAGCATCAGTGATAAACTGAGACAGTAACATCTACCTTGATTATCAGAGTCATCAGGGATAATAAAGAACTTCGAAATTTGAGAGAATTTGGGGTTTTCCATGTTTTGGTTAGGGTCTGTGTCAATACTCTGAAATCTGAGAAGCTCTGACATTTTGGCTTCCAAGCATTTCAGGAAAGGGATATTCAGCCTTTATACAGACGTGTTTATCAAACTTCCAGTGCTGTGCAGATGCCCTGGTGCTCCCTCACGGGTCCTCTTTTCTCTGTGTATTTTAAATCTGAAGAACAACGTGGTAAATTCAACTACCCTGAAGTGTGCTCCCTGCTCCTCCACAGCTCTGTCACAGAGAAGGGTCTTTCCCTCAGTAGTGGGTCCACAGTGAGCTATTAGCATTGTGGAACATACTCTGAGTAGAAGGAGTCCCAGCGTTCTGGCTGCACGAGCTAGCTGCCCTTTTCTAATCTTGCTCACCCTGAGCCAGTGTTTATGGCGTCGTCTGGGTCTTTTGAAGGAATACACCTCAATGTTGATGTTAGGTAGCAGACTGCTGTTGTTTGGATATAGTATGGGCAATGTTTCATGCATCAACGTCCATCTGCATCTCATGCAAACAGGATTATCCAATGCTTACTATTGAAGGCTAAATAGAGTGTTTGGTCAGATACAGATCATCATAGAATTCTTCATCAACGAGTGTTTCAGAGGCCAGTTCTTCCAAACGGCACCTAAGAAGTGTGGCCTTGCCACTCTTAACTGAACGCAGTGATCTCCTGGCTGCTATTCTTGCTCTCCTCAAATTCGTGCTTCCATTAGGTCTGTCCACTTAGCAGATATTCTCTCACCTAAGCGTTTCCAGCGTGCTAGGTACCTGCTGCAGGAAGCTGGCCATCTCCGTCCAGGGCTCTCCTGTTGTTAATTCTGATTTTTTTTTTTTTTTTTTTTTTTTTTTTTTGGTTTTTTGAGACAGGGTTTCTCTGTGGCTTTGGAGCTCGTCCTGGAACTAGCTCTGTAGACCAGGCTGGTCTCGAACTCACAGAGATCCGCCTGCCTCTGCCTCCCGAGTGCTGGGATTAAAGGCGTGCGCCACCATCGCCCGGCGTTAATTCTGATTTTAAGCTAAGTGGCTGAATTGCTGCTGCAGCATGGCCGCTTCCCACCGTCCCGAGTGCCTAGTGTGATGCCCTGTGACAGTGCTTGCCTCTGCAGATGAGAAAGCTTGGTATGAACTGGGGGAGAAGGGGGAGCCTTTCCTTTGGCTAGGACAGTGTGTCCTTCACACACATCCCACGTTCCATGTTGGATCCAGCAATTACTTTCCTATTTAGAGTAATATTACAGATAATAAGTTGGTTCCCGGCAAGGTCCGCAGATTAACCCACACTATGGCTGAGTAGATGGAGAAGCAGACTTGCTAGAAGATGTTCTCACAGAAGGAATTTGTGAAATCTCATACCATCTCTTGAGCTGATAAGGAGTGGAGAGTGGTGGTTTTTGTAGCACAAGTCCCAGATAACTGTTGTATTTATTAAATCTTAAGATGTTTCTGATTTCTCAGTATATAAACTTTTCCCTTCCACAGCAAGTTTGGCATTGAACCAATGAAAATTTAGCAACTGGTAGAAGCTGAGCTAAATTTAATTCTGTGTGCTTATTTGCAAAAGTTGTGCTGACTTTTAAAAATCTGCATTGCACCTTTTAGGGTTTTTTCTTTTAATTAAATGTGATTTTTAAATGGTCTTCTATGATTAATTTATTGTGTTCCTTTGTTGTGAAGAGAATTAATTGCAGTTTGTTCAAAGGCAAATGCATAAGCCTAAAACGTTATTGCACTACAGCCCAAAAAAGCAAATATAATTTATTTTCAATAATATTGACGTATAAGGCTGTAATTTACTGTTTCCTATCTGCCATCCAAAACTCTGAAGTCTTTAAAGTGCTGTGGAACATGACATTGGATGCTGTGTGATGGCTTATTTTATTTGTTACATGGTTTTGAAATGATTAAATATAAAAATACATTAGCATTCTTATAGTAGAGTAGGCTGTGCTCATCCTTAGAAATATGGACACTTGGTTCTTTTTACTTACTATTTGAGATGATGACATGCCTGCGCTTTAGCCTGGTGCATAAAAACTATATGTACACTCTGAAACATCAAGCTGGTTATGGTTTGAATTGTGAATAAGTTTAGTTTTTAATAAGTTTAACCCTGTAAGAGGGTCTTTTGGCTTACATGTGCCCTGTGAGTTCATCTTCAGTTGATTTGGGGATGCAGAACCTCCACACTGCAAGCTAATACCTCTGAGAATATTGTCCACCTGTTGGGGTATAAGACACATCCCCTTCACCCCAGGAGAGCTGCGGACCCAGGGTCATGCCATTTGATGGGAAGTCTGCAGTAAATTAAGGCAATTAAGTTCGCGAGTTAATATCGAGATCCGTGGTCGCCAGGTGTGATGGAACATTTGTCACTTGTGTCTGTAGAAGAGTGAAATGTTGACTCTCTCTCATGCAATGGTCTCATTGTCTTCTGAGCTCATTACGTAGACGATGGGAGAGCTGGCTTTCTAAGATTAAAGCTGAACATGTGACTTTATGTAGAAAAAATCTCTTCTAAACAGAACACTTGAGCACCAGCATTCATTATTCACTTGTGTCTAGGATGGATTGCATCCTGCAGCCTGTCTGTGTCTCCACAGCAGTGCGGCATCCTTGCTGCAGCTCTGCCTCGCTTTCAGAACCACTCAGGGCTGATGCTTTCCTTAAAGATGCTGAGTCCCGTGTTCTGGTCTGCATTTGTGAGTGACCGGCATTCCTCCCGTCACACTAAACCCAATGTCAGACACAGGCTTCCTAAAAATGAAAGCTCTGATAAACAGCTCCTCTAGAGGTTGTGTCATCCAAATCTCCGTGTCGAAGATATGTTTCTTTCTACATACCTATTTCTTGTTAAACTTTGCCCATTATCGAAAGACTTGTTTGAATAAAGGAAAAATAGCAGAGCTTTCTGTAAGGCAAACATTTATCAGAGACGCATGGCTCTAAAAGTTCACGTTTGCCAGATTTCGTCTCCGCATCAGCACAGATGAGCAGGCTGCTCTGCTGCTGTGCTTGACCCCGGTGCATGCTGGCGATCAGCTCTAGGTCCAGTGGCGTCTCTGCAGCATACCAGCTTCATTTGGATGGGCCATTAGACGGTCCCCCTGCTGCTGTGTATCTCTCTAGCTGTGTGGACAGTGTAAGTGTATGTCTTCAAGTCACTCTCCTTTTCCTTCAAGTCACATTGAATGATTACTACCAGATTCCCAGTCTCTTTAGGTGCTGGCAGCGTATTTCACGTATTGTTTTCTTTCCTTCGAACAGTTCTATGGTTTGGTCACGTGTTGCTACCGTTTTACATGCATGTAGTGTAAACAGTTGGGTTCCTAACTTAGATTCAGAGTTCAGAGCCCTAGCCTTTAACAACTAAACTCCCTAGGTAGAGATATGCATCTCCCTTGTAAACTGCTACAGACAGTATATTTCATCATATTGCCTGGGGACTGGCTCCAGGTGTAGGAAAGGCCTGGAGGAGTAGTTATTGCCACATTCTTTGAGTCACTCATAAGGGTTGTTGTGCCTACTGGAGGTAAGGAGGGCTGCTCCCACCCCACTCTGTACCTGGCAGGATTCAACGTGCAAACCTTCCTAAGGATTTCAGATCTCTAGTCTTGCTGGGACCATCCATTGCCTTGTAATTCAATCATGGGGACTTGTTCTTACTAGTATTTCTGAGAGAGTCGTGAGTAAGAAATGCCTGGAAGTCCTAAAAAAGAGTCAGGGGTTCCATATTGGGACCCACAAGTTCTGGGAAGGCGAAGAGTGGTGTTGGTTCAGTCACTTTGATGTTTGGTGCTCGTAGGATTTCCTGAGCAGTGGATGTGGTATTATTTTCCCAATGAGGAGGAAGAGGTGGAAGGTTCGTGAGATGAATGGATGCTGTGAAGTCGTCTGTTGGAGATCTGTGGGTGGGATCTAGACAAACTGACTTCAGCATGTGGGTGAGATCTTACGGATGTGCGGGTGGGCTCTGATGCAGGTCATAGAGGAAATATGAGCACTAACTTGTGCAGGTCTATTGTGATGGTATGGCAACATGAGGCAAGGCCATCAGCAATGATGAGGTGCAGATGCTAAGAGCAGCTTATGGTTAGGGATGGATAGACAGAGCGAAGGACTGGTGACGCAGATCACCCCAAACATTGGCACTTTTGACCTTGCTTTTTCTGCCACCTGTAGAAAAACAGTATTTGTCTTCTGCTATATTTACACTGGAGTTCTGAGGAGATGCTTTCGTTACTGAGTAGTTAGGGTTTCAGGAGGAGAAATTCCTTAGGCATGAAAACATTTTAAAGCATGCGCCGTGGAATCAGGTCTAGTTTCATATTCTGGATGACTTGTAGGTAATTTTGTTATTTTAAGTAAGACCTTAATTTCTCTAAGTCTCCATTTCCAGCACTGCTGAGTCTAGGAAGTAGCCATGAAAGAAATAGTATCTGAGATTTCTTTTCACAGTGGATGTGAACCTGTGCTCTGTTCTCCACGCCAAAACACTGAACTCTTCTTGGCTAGTTTTCCTTTATTTTCTACAAAGGGGAGAATATTATATGCCTTAGTAATGTTCTCTCGTCATTTTCTTTTCTAAATTGTTTCTTTCTTTCCTGTAGAGACTTTCAGAAGATCCTGTATTCTCCTTCACAGAGCAGTTATCAGACCCATGTTGGCGTAGTGTCAGGAAAGTTCCCACGTGCCTTCTGAGTCTCTCCTGTGCGCGGCTCAGATGCTGAAATCACGATTGTTCTGTGTCCCACCCCCTCTTAGTGCTGACTTATTCCAACTGATGGACTCTTAACTTCAGCAAAGACCAAGTGTTACAGCCAAGACACATTTACCACAGAGAGCTAGCCGTGACACCCTCTTCCAGAGCCTGGCGTGTTCCCACAGCTGTACCATCTTTTAATCCAGACACTAATGAATCATAAGGCCCTATTTATTGACATGAAAAATCTCTGTGGAGGGTTTCTATAAATCCACACGCTGAGAGGAGATGCGCAGCAGCCCAAGAGAAAGCAGAAGGGCACAGTTGAAACCTCAACAGTAAGCAAACTGTCTGGACGGAACCAAGCTCTGCGGTTTGCCTCCCCTGTGACCTTGGCTAAGCCCCTCAACTCCGCGTGCCTTACTTTCCTCAGATCTGCAAAATGCAAATGTTAGCTACTGTCTCTTCGTCTGGTCTTGAAGGACTGAATTAATATTTGCAAGGGTTTTAGATGCTCAGTGCTATATAGGCATTCGTCAAATATATGCTGAAAATGGATAACAGTGGGTCGTTGGCTGAGCTAACTGGTTGCTGTGCTTTTGCGGAAGAGCAAGGTGACGAAAGTACATTGGCTAGAGAAATTACATGATGGAGTATATTGATGCACAACATCTATGGATATTTTGTTACCATGCACCCTTTACGTTGCATTTGACTTACCAAACATGTTCAGCTTTAACACAGTATTTGTGTATTGATAACAATGGGAAACCACTTATTTTACACGTTCCCAAAGGGTCAGATTTGGGGGCTGCAAGCGTTTGTTGTGTCCGCAGCACATCGGAGGAAATGAGTGGTCCGTTGTCACCAGATTGGATCTGACACCAGATTTGTAACGATGGTGAATGCAGAGGAAACAGTTTAGGAAAGCTGACGCATTTTAGAATCCAGGAAAAACAACCATGGTCGGGATATTACCATTCAATTCAGAAATTTGCAGATAGAATGGCAGGCGCTCCAATGTCTGGTAGTGAAAGACGCTATTCATTGTTACTAACCTCTCCCTGAAATTTAACTTCCTTTACTTATGAATGATGACAGCAAATCACGATAGTATTTAGCATTTGAAATTATAGTACTTTTGAAATATTCCCCGAGTCCTGGTAAGTCCTGTCATTTGGTGTGTCAAGTCAACAGAGAAACTCAAATATAATTATTTCATATTATTCTTAATATTTTGAAAGCTGTGTCCTATTTTGGTTCTTTCCTTTTATGCTTGAAAAACCATTGGGACCTCAGCAGATTGCTGAAGAGGGAGAGGATGAAATAAACCATGAAGGACCTTATCTGGTAATTTGCTCAGTAGTAGTCCTGGGTCTTAGCTACTCCATCTGGCACCCTCTCCACCCAGTCTGGAGAGCTGAGGTGTGCTTTTCTCTAGCCGTGCATCGTTTTGAGACAGAATCCAGGCTACACTCTTGACTACAGAAATGAAATCGCTTTGGCTATTTTTGTCTGTGGCTCACAAGTCTTAAAGACCTGTAGCTTCTCCACGTCCCCAGCACAGCACTGCCTTCGACAGACTCTTGCAGTGGAAGAAGTTGATCAGCCACAGTTTACTAGAAAGCTTGATGCTGCGAAACCAAGACCCAGAAAGCAGAGACCTCAGTCTGTGGAAGTGTGCTGCGGAGGGTTAGCCGAGCATGCGCTCCGGGAGACTGTGAGGCCCACAGGGAGAACTGTGGAGGCTGTGAAATGAGAAGGGAAGGAACGTGTCAGGCAGCAGAAGATGGTGGAAAAGTAATTAAGTCCAGGCTTTCGCCTCCTCTGTCTGCAGGCCTCTGTTTATCAGGAGCCCCTCTTGCTCCTGGGAATGACGTCCACGTAGCGAAGGAACGTGTTTTCACTCGTTTCTTCAATTACCTGAATTAAGCACAGCGTTTTTGGCACTCGGGGATTGTCTCCTGGGTAACTCCCTTATCTCTGTTAGAGTTGTAGACAGAACCTTTGGTGTGTCTACTTTATATCTAGACTAGACTTTATATCTTTATGGTCACTCACAAGGCATACCTGTGAGGGTAGATATTTGAGGGTGTTGGGAAATATTGAGCAAAAGGGAAAAACATTTCAAATGAAAGTATTTTTAGGTAGATGTTTTGTAACAGTAGAATATTCATATTAAAGCTAAGGGGAAATGTTACGGAAAAAAAGTGGGTCCAGGCAGAATGGAAGGTGGCAAGTGTGCTTGCAATGCAGTTCTAAAGGGTTTTCGTTTATTTATTTTATTTTAATGTTGGGGGTGGGCGGGGGACTTCCTTTAGTACTAGTAAAAAGAACCCAGACTGGATCTCTGGGAATGTGTTTGATAGCAGTTTGGAAAGATAGCTTTAACAGTTAGATGAATTCTAGTCTTTTCCCTTTAAATTGCATTTGCCATGTATGTATGCCAGGAACAGGCAGAGAGCTGCTTGTGGGAGCTGGTTCTGTTCTTTCACGTGTGTCCTGGGGATGGAATACAGGCCCTCAGGCTTGGCAGCAAGCACACTTCCTGAGGTGCTGTCCCTCTTCCTCTGAATTAGTGACTTGGCTTCCTGTTACATGTGCTCTCTGAGATTTCCATTTCCGTCTCCATTTCTTATCCACCACTGTGGACTTTTCCTCTAGAACCGTAAGCCAAAGCAAACTCTTTTTTTTCTTTAAATTGCCTCTGGCCACAGCAACAAAAAACATTAGCTAACACAAATAGGATACTTATCCAACTCATTCCCAAACATGGCTGAAGGCTTAAAGGTGAGAGGGAGTAAGGCATCTTGCTGTCAACCTTTTCCAGACCCTCCCAAGGCACCTAAAATTCTCTAGTAATCTACATGGGAAGTAGAAAGTATAAAAAGACAAGATCTCTGGAGTAAATTGGGAGCATGGGGACCTTGGGGGAGGATTGAAGGGGGGAGGGGGGCGGCAGGGAGGGGAGCAGAGAAAAATGTAGAGCTCAATAAATATCATGGAAAAAAATCAACAACAACAACAACAACAAAAAGATGGACTTGGGCCCTTAGACCCCTGTATCTATTCATCCCTATACAAGCTTTACTAAGTCAAGACTGGTCCTTTTAGCAAGCTTCAGCCAGGATTTTTGCCCTAAAATTGGGGTTGGTTTTAGTTCAATCTCTGGGCTTTTATGTGGCTACAGCTTTACCATGCCATTAATGTTCTGTGTCAAATCTTTTCTTTTTAATCTGAAAGTGTTCCATGACCACTTTTATTATTTAAATATATTAAATGAATCGTAACATTAAGAGGTTCAATTTCTTCAATAAAAGGGCAAAGG